AGATCAGTGACTTTGATACCCTCTTTCTTATACGTATAAACAGTTAGTTGTCGCATAACAATTGTCGTGGCCTACACACGACTATAGCCTAACGACGACGTGCAGTGTGGAGGTCGGAGGTGTTCTCAAGAACATGCTTCGGACGCTTCCAAGGTCACCAGTCTGCTCCGCCCGAGGAAAGTCTTGTACATTATGACAGGTTAGCTCGATGTAGCATGGACAAGGAGTCACTCCATGTCCCTCCTCTTAGGTGTTTAGGGCCTGCGATGATCGAACTTTGTGCATATGTGGATTCAACCTGATGCGGTCCCATGGTGAGTCTGTGAACAGCTCTCTCGGGCGATCATGCTCATTTTTGTGTTCGTGTTGGGAATTGGGACAGTGGATACGAATCAAAAGCTCAGCCTACGCCTTCAATACGTTTTGCTGGAATGTAGTGGTTATTCCAGTAGCATCAGGGAGGACGGTCAGAAAGAGGCGCTCTCGGAGCTCATTAGAGCCATACACGAAGTTGTCACATGTTTTGTTGCCCATGTTCAGCGTGATGGATAGAAGAAATCTAAAGTGTTGGCACTGAGTATGTGTTGGCACTGAGTATGTGTAATACATCTCGTCCGAGACGTGAGATTGTGTCGGGTCGAACATACGTGTGCTGTCGGACTGTGTCTGGCTGATGTGTGGCTACCTGGATTACAACAAAGACCTTCGTAGAGGAAAGATGAATACCACGACCTCAGACCAAACAACAAACTTTGCGAGATGTCGAGAGCGAGCATACCAGGTCCCGTGGCCTTTTGCAATTAATTACCTCAAGAACTTGTATTGTATCCGTAGGATCTGTGCACACTTGGAACCGTGTCAGCCTAGATCAATTATGACACTATCAATACGCGACGAGCTTCATGATTTTTCATGGAAAGAAGTGATATATGATGGCTGCTAATACGAGGTGACAAGTAATGAGGTATGAACAATGAGCGATCGTGATGCATTTGACATGACCAAGGTGCTTCACTCTGCATTCACACGAGTGAATCTGCCCCTTGCGTCCCTCAGTCTACCAGAGTGCTGGCTAGGTGTCCTACTATCCTCCAAAGGCTGCTCTCTCATTTCCAGTATTCGATCAGCTTCTTCATCTTCATCCTCCTTGTCCTTTTCCTTCATGCTTATCTGTTCCCTCCGTGCATCATTCGACTTTTCTTCTCCCAGAACGCAGTTGTAGCTCTACCACATGCCTTGACATCGGAGCAGATCACAAGTTTGATTTGCCTCGCTGTATAGTACAACGCCGATGTTCCAGCAGAAGTGAGGTTCCCATATTGCTTCGGCGACATCCCCCAGGGTTATTCCGTTTGCGTTGTGGAGCTGCGGTCCTGGCTGATGTAATTTGTGTGTAGGATATTTGTACTCCAATCCACAAATGTACAGATCAGTAGAAATTGCCAATTCTACAATCGGTGGGTATGTGAGATACATATTGCGCCAGGTAGCCTCTGGATGCTGGTGTTGTAGTTGACGGAGGTGCTTTATAAGCTGGTAACCCAATTTGAGGTTACGAGACGAGTGAGGGCTAGTGGTTATTTGTGTAGAGCGCTGCCACATGCAGGGGCTGAGACGTAACGGGCGACGATCCCAGTCTTGATGGGTACGAAATTCGGATGCAAGTGGGTAAATGGAAACGATATCCCATGGTCGTCTGTCCAGCTTCTCAAGACCATAAGGGACATAGCATAGCCTGAGGGGCAGGTGAAAGTGAATTGAAGCTGTAGCGGCAAGATTCCCGTGGATTTGATCCGATTTATGAATGCCTGGCTTTTCAGAGAGCTGAGGGAGGAAAAGGATTCTGCGGAGCTAATTCGAAGCATAGATGAACGCATACCATTCGGTACTGACTTTCGTAAGATGAAGAAGTTCCCTATAGTCTAACCGCATTTCCTCGATTATCATCAAGAGTAGCTCTGGTGGAAGGCTAGAGTTACTGGGACCGAACATGACAAGCCGAAGTCGATCAATCAGATGGAGGAAGTAGCTTCTGGGGTATTAAGAAAGTGCCTGAAATACGTAACAAAGATCTTCCGAATTGTGAGCAGCACGCTTTTGCCTATGCCCGGAGACATGGATGTATATTCCAGTATATTCGAGGAGTTGTTATGAACCCTGTAATCTTCTATTTGCTCATTTCTTATTCCTGGGCTTCGCTGTTCCGTTTGCTTCTTTCGCCGTACTCTTTGCTTCGCTCTTTTCCTTTTCCTTCTTCTCCACCGCTCGTCTCTTAGCACTTTCCTTCTCTAGCAGCTCGATTGTCTTCTCGCTACTCTCCCACAACTTCTTTTGCAAGTCCTCGTCATCGATCTCAGACCTCGACCACTTGACTTGCCTACACTCTTTGAGGAAGTATTTGCCCTCACCTCTCCCCCACTGCTGTTCCATAGCCGCGTAGAGAAAAGTCTGTGCTCCTGCGTCGCCGCTTTTCAAGATGATCCACCAGATAGGCCACATGAAGAGATATATGGCTAGTCCCCATAGTGATCCAAAAGTAAGGTAGCGTCGCATTCCGGGTGTACGGGTCCAGCCTGGATCGACCATGATGACACGGGCATTCATTGGCTTCTGATCTGGTCGAGAATAATTGGAGAGGTGCTTCTGGAAGGCGACTGCAAAAGTCATGAGCGCCAGCTTTGAGGTAGCGTACACCGCAGATGGTGCAAAGTCGAGCTGTCCAGGTTCGGCCTTTGCACTCTTCTTCGCTTTCGATTTGCCAGAATCGGCGAAGGTCTCTGGTAGCTTTCCTCCCATGTACGCAGCACATGTGCCGAAGATGATGCGCACGTCTCTGTCTGGTGGCTGAGCACGCAAAGCAGGACTGAGTATGCTGAGTAGATGGAAGTTTGCCAAATAGTTCAGACCCCATGTTGACTCCAAGCCATCCTCAGTAGCCGTTGCTTTTGTTCCAGGTGGTGTCATCGTATTTGCGCAGAGAATGATCGTGTCCAATCGACGCGGCGGTGCATTGTCAACCCATTTTGTAGCGAATTGGCGTATGCTGTGTAAATTCTCGAGATCGACGTGCTCGGCGGTGATGAGCTCGTTGTTCGTCTGCGTGCGTAGATCCTCGATGTAGTCCACCAAAAACGGATCTGAAAGTGGCTGTCGTACGAGGAGAACAATTTGTGCTCCACGTGAAGCAAGTCCTCTGACTACTTCAGCTCCTATTCCAGCTGTTCCTCCCTACCATTCCGATTAGCGCTTCTCTCGTAGCCACTCCAGAACTGGTTATCTTACTGTGACCATGACCACTTTCGAGTGCATATTCCGCTCCGATCCGTTGACTGCGCCATTGAAAAACCATTTCAGCGCGTAGAGTACTGCGCATACAGACGCAACTTTTGCTACGGTCCATCCGTAGGGGACAGAGTCCAAGCCTTCCGTAAACACTTGGGCAACGATGTTGACGGGCATCGTTGATTGATGGTGGGACAAAATGAGCTAAACAACGCGGAACTGTGGTCGGAGCCAAGCAACCGACACACGTGGCGTCATTAACATGTGACTGCGCGATGGTGCGATCGCCGCCTAGGATGTTACTCTAGGCCCTCCACAGGCAGTTTGCATCGCGGTCATTCTCACAGACTGACAATACACCACTCTGAGAGGGATGGTATCACGCTTTACGAAACAGATCGCACCGCGACAACTGCAGCCATGATTACCTCAAGTCATGCGCCTCCGCCAGAGGAAGAATACGAAGACGACCCACGTTATGATGATGCAGATATATCCACTATCCCATTTGTGCAGCAACACCCATTCGGTCGTGGGCTCTGGAAGAACCATATAAGCTTTGTCCCAGCAACAGCAGAAGATGCTGCGCCAGCTACCGCGTCCTCTGCACAGGGCAAGACAATGGCCGAGAAATACCTTGCCATCATGTTTCCAAACGGCCAACCACAGCCAAAACCTGAAGCATACCCGCTTTGTGGTATCTGTGGCGAGCCCGTCAAGGAGGCTGATCAGCGGATACATTATCTCAGCCCGGCGCATCAAGCAGCCCTCCCACGAGCACCGATACCGTCGGCAATCGACCGAACGAGAATGGGCTTGAAGTACATGGAGAAACATGGCTACGATGTTGATGCGCGTGTTGGACTCGGCGCAGCCGGACAGGGCATGCTATTCCCTCTCGTACCCAAGGAGAAACGCGACAAACTAGGTCTGGGTGTCGACAAGAAAGAACACATCAAGCAACGAGCTCTTGGTGGCGCAACCACTTTCGAAGTTAAGCAGGGCAAGCTGGATGCCGGCAAGATTCAGAAGTTAGCAAAGGTTGAAAAGAGGAAGCATGACAAATTGCAACAGTTGTTCTATGGGAACGATGAGGTCGAAAAGTATCTTGGACAACTCGATGGCTAGGTTCATTTTCTCGTTATGAATCTCGATATCCTGAGCGTCGTTTCATTTCCGAGGATGCACCAGCAGAGACTGCGTAAGAGCAGTCCTTTCGTGGTCGTTTCAATGGGTCATGGAAGCTGCGTTTCCTACATCGTTTAGAACAGCGTTGCCATGGGGTTTAGTGTCTACGTTCACACGGCTTGCATAGCGCTGCGTAATCTTTCTTTCCGTTTTTGAGATACCCAGAGCTCAGCGATCGACCCGTGGGCCAGCAACAGCAAATATCATACTCTTCACAACATCTATCAGTGGGAACCCGAACAATGACAGCGTCTTTTTGTCGTCAGCATTACTTTATGAGTAGAGCTAGAATGGGTCACGTCGACCCCACCTGGAGATTTAGCCAACGTTCGGCCCAGTCCACCACACCACTCACGCAAAATTTTCCTGCTTACAAATCAAACCTCCAATCTATCTCTACATCGTCCAGAGCTATTCATGAGTCAGAGTCGATCTTCAGTGAGCCCGGTCGTCGGCTCTTTTGGGGTATGCTGCTCACAATATATAGCGATCTTTCCACGAAAAGTTCATCCAACCAATGAAATCAATCTGGTCGATTAGCTCAGTTGGTTAGAGCGTGGTGCTAATAACGCCAAGGTCGCGAGTTCGACCCTCGTATTGACCATTTTTTTTGGATTCAGGAAGTCCTGTCGTCTTTTTGGTGATCTGGAGCTGAGGATAGGGATTGTGGCCGTCTGAAGATGGAAAGTATGGACGACAGGAACACCACAAGGAACGTGAGATATGACAAACGCATGATTTGAATCACAGCAACGTGTAGTTTTCATGGTGATATTACACTCAGTAGAAACCATCGCGTTCAAAGACTTGAATCATATCAGATCCAAGGATGTATATACCTTTGGACGTTACAAAGCAACTTGAATCTCTAGCAGCACTAGTCACAGCTTATCGTAGTCAACACAATACATCAACAGCTCTAAAAAGAATACTTGACTCTTATCTGTGTTATCTAGAGGTAGCGGTAGGCTTGATACATTAGATATGTATGCCTTTGTTGTCTCCTTGCTGCTACATGAGCTCAAGTGTCATGCTTTCGAAAGAGGTGAGGACTTAATAGAAACGAGCTCCTTCGTATGCCCATCTCAGGGCAATCCGATGACACAGGCTACATGGCGATGTAATGAAGCGATGAATTACGCACTTCGATGGACGAACGAAATAGTAGCATCATATACATAAATCCCAGCCACAATGCTATGCAATACACAAAACCAACCCCTTCAGAGCCAATATTTACAAACTCGATCTCTCACCACCCAACCGCTTCCCGGTAACGACCTCAAAGTACTTGTTCAGCGCCTCGCATGTCCCGGTCCCCTCCTCCAGCTTCACAACCACACCCACGTACCCGTCTGGCCGTACAACCACGATACCGCCCTTCTCCTCATCCAGCCCCATCTTCGCGTGCGCCGCCGCCTTCGCATTCGGTACGCGCTGATCCCAAAGATCATCCGCATAAACGTGGTCTGCGTATCGTGCAAATGTCTTGGGCAGCTGCTCATTGATGTGGATCTTTGATCGAGGCGCAGACAGAACGATGGCAAGGGAGAGGAAGTTAGTATGCGGGTTGTGGCGCTCGTGGTAGCGATCTGCGGTCGCGAGGTCCTTGTGCAGAAAAGCCGAGAAAAAGGACGTTGGTGCTGACATCTGTGTAGCAAGGTCTTTGAGCGCGGTTGCCGTCTTCTCGGGGACACCGCCGAAGATAAACATGCGGTATGAGCCGTTGAGTGGGATTTCCTGCTCGAGGTGAACAACGTTGGCGTCGACGACACGGGTCACAGTTGCGGCGGTGAGGATGCGACCTGTGCGTTGTGTGGTGCCCTTCTCGTACTGGAGGATGAGGGGGTGTTGGGCTGGGTGTTCAGGGCCCCAATTGATCTCGTTGGGCTTGTAGGCTACGCCGTAGCCGGAAGTGAATTCACAGGACGCTTTGAATGTCTTGATGAATTCATTATCTTCAGGGGCATCGGAAGACGCGCCTGCAACCTCGCCAGCTGAGGGGATGCGTGTAGAGAAGAGCTTGGCGTAGCGTGCGTCGAAGTCGAGGAGGGTTTCAGCGATGAGCTTGCGCTCATTTTCGTAGGTAGAGAGGATGGTTCGTGGCGCCCAACCGGACTCAACGTGGTGGATTTTCCAGGCGAGGTTCACAGCGTCGAGGAACGCGGTGTTCATACCCTGCCCGGCTTTGGGGGAGTGTGTGTGGCAGGAGTCGCCGCCCATGAAGACGCGCTCGTCGAGTGTGTAGCGTTCTGCGATACCTTGGCCGATTGGGTAGACAGAGTACCATTCTACGCGATCCCAGGTGATTTGGTATGGCTTGAAGATGTTCTTCGCTTTTTCTTGGACTTCATCTGCAGACATGGTTTTGCGAGGATCCCAGTCTTTGTCTGTTGAGCTGGCAACCTGAATGTACAGACGGACCATGTTGTTCTCGCGGGGAATGATCATGATGGAGCCGGCATCAGAGTGTATTGTGCACTTCATCTGTTCGTCTTGTAAGTATCCGTTGGGACCACCATGTTTCGCAAATGATCAACGTACCTTGATATCAGGGAAATCTGTTCGAACAACACCATCCATAACTCCCCAGACGTGAGCAATTGGATCCTTGTAGATCATGTTGACGCCTAGTTGGTCGCGAACAAAACTCCTCGCACCCTCTCCACTGAATAGGTACTTTGCTCGTACAGTCTCAGACAAGGTGCCATCAACATGTGCAAGTTCGACCTTGACCGGGTATGTGGAGTCCGCGCCGTCATTCTTGAAGCCAGTGATAGTCCACGGCCTTTGTATCGAACCGCCGTTCTTCTCAATATCTTCAATGAACACACGCTCAATCAATCCCTGGTGCAATAGCGTTGTGAACGGGTACCGCGCATCAATGAACTTTGGGCAACTAGCCCATGTGCCAGTTCGGTGAATACCCTTAGCAGCTGGATCCCAGAATGCAACCTCGTAGACCTTCGCAGGCTCATGCTCCATAACCTTGCGCTTGAGGCCCATATTTCGGAGGAGATCAAGCGAGCGCGGTTGAATTCCATCGGCCCGACCTGTAGCCGTAGGCTCTGGCCTGTTGTCGATGTGCTTGACTTTGTATCCCCACTTTGCAAGACAGGTCGACAGACAAAGACCAACAGGTCCAGCGCCAACGATGACAACGTCGTAATTTTCCACAGCCATGTCGTCCAGTCAGGACCGCAGTCAGATGAAAGATCGATGAGATGAATGAGATGCAAGTAATGACAATGAGAGACGATTGTCAACTTCGCAACACGGGTATTAGATCGCTGTGCAAATAGGACGAGGATAGGTTGTGAGTAAGGCTTCTTTGGCTCAATCAGCGAACAAGAGCTTTAAGAGCAGCAACATAGCTCCATGGCCACTCGGCGACCTGGAGCTAGTCTCGGCCTCCATACCATGGCAAGCAAGTCGGGATTGCTTGGTCCGTCGGCAACAAAATCGGTTGTAGGTAGCCCCAGAGACGCAGGTCTTTAGGCGCATCGGTGGGCATGCCGTCATGTTGCGGGGAGATAAGCGGAAACGCAGCGCGGCATTTTGGTGCCAAGATGGTATCTCACGTTTCCTCGTTGAGCACAAGTGCAGCTTCAAAAGGAATGGCATGGAGCGCACGAGACTCGGAAGCTACATCCGTGAGCCTAGACGGCGAAAAAGAGAGGGAATTGTAGACTCCACAACCCGGGCTTAGACCGCTGTAGATTTACCGTACATGTCTACCATGGTGTCTTGAACATGATCTCGACTTTTGACGTGAAGTTGCTTCGTACGAGACAGTAACACTTACATATTACAGACTAGGAGATCGGCTAGCTGCTTCCCACAGACCGACAGACTGAGAACGAATGACAAGCCTGTCGACATTGGACCCAGCAGGCTCCGAAATGGTGGGATTAGCTGCTCGGAACCCTAATCCAGGGCGCATGCAGACACTGATAGTTTCATGGTAGAGTCACGTAATTGTGAGCAACTTGGCTCATATCTTCGTTATGTACTCGTGGATGACATACATGTGGCGATACCTTCACCACACCGAAACCCCAACGCCAGATACAGGGAAGCTCAGTGAGCATGGATGTATACTAGACAGATCATCTATCATCTTGTCCTTGTGGGCTTTCCATCTGTGTCCCCGCCAACAGTTGTCGAATTTGGACACATTCTCGATCATGCCGTACAAGCTTTTACAGCATTGTGACATTTTTCTTCTCCCTCCTCGAATTGATAGTTCTGCGAGAATAGGCGCGTTCAAGAAACGGTAACGTTACCCAGAGAGACTGCCAACCGCTCTTCTTCTTTCCTTGCTCTTGCTGCCTCCGTCTCCCTGCGCATGGTTTCTAGGTTCCACGCATCGTCCTCATCATCACTATCCGCATCGCTATCTTGTTGCCAATCGCCCTTTTCGAACATAGCGCGACCAGTTGCGTCTTTCATCTTCTTGGCCTCCTCTTCCGCCTGTTTCTTGTCGAGGCGCTCCTTCTTCCATTTTGCGAACGTCTCCTCGGTGACAGGAGTAAGCTTACCAGTAAGTTTGTGTCTTTCAGACTCAAGGAAGTCTTCGAGTGTGAGGGTGGCCAGCGGCGAATTGGCCATGAGAGCCTTTTCAGCAGCACGCTGTTCCTTGGTCTTGATGACATATCTATGCGCGAAATCAGCATATATGATCTCAAGCGAAATGTAGAACAAGCAAGGACTAACCCAGGTGGTAGAGAGTGCTTGTATTTGCAATCGTTTCCGCCATTTGGACACACCCAGAACCATCCATATTTCTGATCTTCGATGGCCTGAATAAAGTATTTGCACACTTTGTCCGTCGTTGTCTTGGGGTTGCCGTGCTTGCTCATGACGACCTGACGTAGCTTGTCCTCGTCCCAATCGTCCATGTTGTCCTTCTTCTTCTTTTCCTCCTCTTCCTCTTTTTCTAGTTCTCTGTTGTCCGTGTACAAACTCCTCTTCTCAGTCTTGCGCTCCACGGCCAGGTCATGGCTGAATTTGCACTTCTTGCCCTTTTCGCAATTGCCCTTTTTGAAGAATTGACACAAAACAGTCTTGGGGTCAACACCGAACGGCACTTTCTGGACCTGGACAGGCTTGAAGAGTTCTGCAACTTCCTTGCGGGCTTGCTCCGCCGCCGCCTTGTCCTTCTCACGCTGCGCCTTTTCTGCTGCCTTGCGCTTTTCCTCAGGCGATCCCCCAGACGCGTGTGTGGCTTTGATCTGGGCGATTTGCTTTTGCGCGGCGCCTCCCTTCTTGTTCTTCATACCAAAGGTCTTGTCCACGGCGACCTTCTTCACCTTGGGCTGCTCGCCCTTGCCTTTGGGAGGCATTCTGGCTGGTTGTGTGGGTTGAAATGACCGTGGGGGTGTTGGGCTCGAAAGTCGGGAATTGGGCGGTTGTGGTGGTCTACAGCCTGGCGACGTTTGTGATGTCTTGCGTGCGTGTGTCAAAGTGAGAATGACGATGTGTGGGGTGGAATTTCCATAGTGGCGGCGGCGGCGGCGGCACGGAGGTCCCTGCGCGCTCCTTCAAGCAGCGACAGGGCCGAAGCGCCGAAGCTCAAGGTGGCCTTGACTTGCACTGCACAAC